TCATAGGTGTGGAAGGGCAGGCACCTTCAGTCATAGAGTTCAGCCTCCTGCTATCACAGGCAATCCCATCATATCATCCCATTCATAAACTTAAAGTAAACTTGGCCTTGGTTGGGCAAAGTGTGTGTGCGCATCCTGCTATGCAAACTTCATGGAAGAGTGCTTGTTTGTATAGCAGCCATCTGGCTTTGTCTGATTCTGCCACCCTCACTCAGGGTACTGACTAGTCAGTTTCACTGTCTGGTCCTCATGCATGGTGATGTAATGCGTATACTGCAAACACGGCAACAGGAGGTCCTGCTGAGGAATGTTTGAATTCTGACAAGAAACAGTTTTCATAGGCTTTTAAAACACAGGTCCTGTCTGCTCAGTGTAATCATTAAGTATGCCCCAATATGTCTGCTCAGAGTCAGGGGTTGCCCTCTGCATTCTTAGTCAAAATACCCGCTCTCTGCACATGTGTGGGTGCTATGCATCTGGCTGTCACCCTTCTTTTGCGGAGGTAGCTACATTTCAGAGAGCTATCTAGACACACACTCACGAGTTCTCAGCTCCCATTTAGTCACCGAAATAAGTGGCTAGATTTTCAAAACTGCTCAGCAGGAGGGGTGCACGTTAGGTGCTGAGCTCTTTTGAAAATCTGGCCACGAGTGTCGTGATAGAAGCTGCTGGGTGCTGAGCATATTTGAAAATCTGGGCCTATTTAGATGCTTAAACAAGAGTTGAGCTCTCTTGAAAATCCACCCCCAAGTATTGAGTTTGAGCACTTGAAAATCCGGCCTTGAGGTCAGTCTCCTAGAGTCTGTGACTTGCTCTGGGATCTCCCAAGGTGAGGTGCTAAATAAATATAAAATTGTATTATCCTCTGGCAGTGAACAGCATTACACAGTTGAATGGAAGGCTCTGGGAAGACTCATTTGCTGATAACGTCTTGATATTTGTTGCAGGAGCAGGATGTATACGCTGCTGTCTGGACTTTATAAGTACATGTTCCGTAGGGATGAGTACTGCATTTTGATCCTTGGGCTGGACAATGCGGGGAAAACGGTATGTGCTTTTAGTTACCCGTTAACACGGAGGGCACATGCAGCCCCACTCACTCCTCCCCAAAAACACAACTGTGTTAGCGTGGCCAATTTCTTCCCTGGTGTCACTTCAGTTGTTTCAATGGTGTTATCCCAAGTATGAATTTGACCCCCACGCATCTAATTTTAGTACAATAAGCCTTCAGAGACACAGAAGCATGGGCTTCCTTAAGCACATAATCACCTGTGAACTCTTCCATGGCTCTGTGCTGTAATGGGAAAACTAAGGGCTGTGTTGTGTTCTAAGATTTCATGGAGAATCCTGATCCAATAGGGGGAGAACAGGTCTTGAATAGGATTGTCCTTGCCAATAAAGTGTATATAATACTAGCTAGTTTTATTTCTTCTTCCCTTCCAGACCTTCCTTGAGCAGACTAAAACCCGATTTAACAGGACCTACAAGGGGATGAGCTTATCCAAAATCACTACCACTGTGGGCTTAAACAGTAAGTGAATCTGTTTAGAGGTTCTTTGCCGCTTCCTACAAAGTTAGACAACTAGTGATCATTCCAAGAGTTTACACTGTGAAAATAATTCCTGATAAGAGTAACCCGACCAACACCCCACCTGCCCACACATGCTTTAAAGAGCAAATGGACTTCTCCATCAGATGGAGAAAACATGCTGGATCTGAAGGCGAGTGTGATGATGCTAAGCCTAACGCCATTGAGGTTAGTTAGCCTGATTCGGATCTTATTTACACTGGTGTAACTCCACTGAAATCAATGGGTTTGTATCTGCTGATAGCAAGGTGAATTTAACCCGCTAACGATAGGCACTGCTATCCTGCTGAGAATTAACAGTGTGTGTGATGACTCTTCCAACCTGCCTTCCCTCCTGTGGGACTCTGCCGGCCTGCCTGCTTGAGAGAATAGTCAGTCTGCATTGGGTTATTTTTTCTTTTTTCCCTGCTCTAGTTGGTACTATTGATGTGGGCAAAGCCCGGCTAATGTTCTGGGATCTTGGAGGGCAGGACGAGCTGCAGTCCCTCTGGGACAAGGTAGGGGAAATAACTTTTCTATTTTAAATGTTTTGTGTCTCAGAGTTGCAGAGAAACAAGGTTACTTTATAATTAGCCAGCCCTGCTCCTTAGCACTGCCCCTTGTGCTGTTGTTCCACTTGTCTGTTTGAGAGTCACAAAAATTAATATTTAACAGTTACAGATAGTTTTACAGACACTAACTACTTCTCACAGCACCCATGTCAGGTAAGTACCACTATTATCATCCCTATGTAACAAGTAGAGGAAATTGGGAGAGAGCTTAATTAACCCAGAGGTTGTTATGTGCACAAAACCACAGAGAGACGTGGTAGCCTAGCCTGGATAGCTTCTTAAAAGATACGTTATTAAATGTAAAATAGGGATATTGATCCTGACTTTCATTATATAGTGCTTCTCACCCACAATCTCAAAGTGCTTTATAAGAGCTAGGTATTATTGCTCAAACAGGAGTTACGGGTTTGATGCAAAAATTATTGGGGGAGCTTCTCTGGCCTGTACTGCAGGAGGTCAAATAGTCCCTTGTGGCCTTAAAAATCTATGAAAGCCAGTATTGGAACTCAGGAATTCTTGGCTTGACCATGCCTCTTGGTTATTACAGCACTGTGCAAAAGTAAAGTCTGTAACTGTTATCAGCACCGGTCTCCATCCCTAAGAACCCTGCGTGCTGGGCCCTAACCTCTCCAGCAGAATCCTGGGTCGTGTTATAAGCTACAGTGCCAGGAAGAATTATTACACACCCTTCACAATGGCATCTGGCAGCTGTCCAATGTAAAAATTGAATAAATGTACCTGCTGGTCAGCCAGACAAGCCACCTTTACTGTTGGGTGTACTTGTCTGACAATAAACGGATCCTCATGGCTGCCGGATCAATAGTTAACAAAACACTTGACTAAACATACTTTGTACCATGCTCTAAAAGCCACCCAATCCACACTGTGGTGAACTGTTGGGTGAGGCCAGCTCAACAGACTCAAATCTGTTTCTTGGAGTTTTGTCATCTCTACGTAGCCATTTGTGAATTTGTGCATATCAGAAAACATCCACACAGCTGAGTACCGCTGTTGGGCTCTGCCTAAGAGAGCCTGTGGCACTGGAATAGCACAAGGTACTGTAAGTGGCGATTGAGGTGTATTGGCAGAATTCAGTAGGAGGAGCAGGCAGTGCATCTTACCTGTCTGGAGAGAGGAACTTCGGCAGATCTGTGGGGATGGAGCTTGCAAAATCAACTGCTGGACTGTGCCTGGCTCTAGCTATCTGATCTCGGTCCGTCTCTTTCATGAGTACCAAAAATCATATTAAAATCACATCAACATTGAAAAGAGAAGCAAGCAGCCCCAGCTGTTAGATGCTAACACCTGTGCTGTGATTTCAGTACTATGCTGAATCCCATGGGGTCATCTATGTAATCGACTCCACTGATGAAGAGAGGCTCTCGGAATCTAAAAGAGCTTTTGGTGAGTATGCTGGGCTTTTACCTGTAGTTATGTACTTTTCATTATATCCTATGGAAACTTCCTCTTATTTCAGTAAACCCCTTCCTGCCACTCTGATTGAAATATACAGTTGATTTTATTATGCATGTGACCACCTATGTGCATAGCATGGCTTGCAGACTGCGTGGTCGTTCTTTGCAGGTATACGTTTTGAAATCAATGGGGCTGTTTGGGCGTGTTGCCTGTTCTGTCATTGACATTGTTATTAACAAAACCTTTAGTTGTAGTCGCCTTTAGTTGTCCTGGATCTTTCCTTGGTCTTGTTTTCCTCATCTGTCAGCATTTTATCCCTTATTCCAAACGTAGCAAATTTTTTATAACCAGGTGTTAACCTATCCAGTTAATACCTGCATAAAATACTCACTGTTGATCAAGGTTAAGGGTGGAAGTTGTGATGTTTTCATACCACGACGAATTTGGCTCTAGAAGATTTGGTTAAATTAAACAGTGATGCATGTGGTGCCTTTCACTCCTGTCTGTCTATCCAGCCAATGTAATTTTTGTATTTGGAGGAGTCTGTGTGTTCTAGAGTTACCTAGACATTGCTTGTTTCTGTGCCTTACAGAGAAAGTGGTCACCAGTGAAGCTCTGGAAGGGGTTCCCATACTGGTGTTAGCTAACAAGCAGGATGTAGAGGTAAGATCATCTCCTGAGGTGCCACCCCCATAGATTGTGTTCTCAACTGAGCAAATATTATTTTAGTTTCAAAGAAGGTGGGCCGTGTATTCACTGCATTTGTTTCATGCTCTTATGCTGGTCTCTGCTGAGCAAAGGCAGTGCTTTCTTGCTATTACATGTAATTGCTGTGAATTTAATGTTCAAGTATTTTCCTCTTCCCCCTTCCCCCCATTGTAAAATGACTCTCTAGCAAATATTTCCATCTTTGCAGTAGCTGTCGTGTACTTTATGTAAACACCAACACAGTACGTGACTGTTTTTTTTCATATTGACCTAATACAGCTGATCCAATCTTTGATGAGTAATAATACCCAATGAAACTCTGTTTGTGCTGTGCTCATGTAACATCATACCAGCGTGACAACTCGTGTGATGAGATGCTCTCATTCCTTTTTCCTTTAACCAGACCAGCACTACTCAATGAGACAGCCTGTGCTACGGCGCTCCATCGGAAAAAGCTGTGGATTGCAGAGGATACAGCCTGTTTTTTCTTGGGTTTATAATTTCAAAACTCTCTTGGATATCTAGAATTACAGAATAGACCTATTGTAGTTTCAGATCAGATTGTGGATACTGTTTGGGTGACAGTTTGCTGTTCTAAGGAAATATAAGACTTCACCCGTCTCTTTCCTTTTTGCATATGGTCTACCTGGAATTCCAATAGCTGCAGTACCACCTGTCATCCTCTAGAGGGAGCCAGATACATTTAATAGGCATGTAGGAT